CAGAAAGGACTCGAGGCCAAAACATTGAGTGTTTTCAGGAAAGAGTTACATCTAGTTCTTAGAGCTAAAGAGATCAAAGCGTATGGGGAGAAAACAGGAACAAGGTACAGAGTTGGATGATCAGCTATGATCATATTGAATGACAGAGTGGCTTGAAGGGCTGAATGGCCTACTGCTCCTATTTTCTATGTCACCTTCAAGAATGCCAGCCAACAGATATGCGTCTGTAGGCAAGAAGTTAGAAATGCTATATGGTTCATGCTCATCACTGGATTCAGCCAGGTATAAGGTATATTTTCCTACATGCATGTGACTGTCAAGGCTCCCACATATAAGGCAGCAGGCTTCATCAATGACTTCCACCAAATGTACAACATGTCTGTGACATCACAAGAGGTTCCTTCAGGAGAGTGCAAGATTCCTGGGAAGCAGCCGTACAAAAACAGATCCAAGTGCCAGAGTTTTCCCCAATGCACCTTCAAGAATGGATACTGGCTGAAAATGACTAAACACTGAAGACTTTACTGAAACCTATGAGGATACAAAAGCACAGGTGCAGAGGAGAGATACAACAGCTGTCAGGTGAAACTCAAGTTAGTACTGAGCTAGTCATAGACTTCTGAATGTGCAGTTCTGAAGCCTGGTTACACCTACTGGTACTCTTCATCATGTCTTAACCAGGGTCTTGTGCATCATAGAGGCTTTCTGTGCTAATCACAACCTGACTCTATAGAGGAAATAGCCTTTGACCAATGAAGATATTGTGGACCACGATGCTTCTTATTATGGGGATATGGAGAAGATGACAACCAGTCGTCAGATGCTGCAAAACCCTAGGGACCACATAGAATCCCTACAGTGTGGAAGCAGGCCATTCAGCCCATCAAGTCCACACCAACACTCAAAGAGTGGATCCACCCCATCCCTATATACCTACATTTCCCATGGCTAATTCAGTTAGCCTGCACATACCTAGACACTACTGACAATTTACCATAGCTGGTCCACCTAACCTGCACCTCTTTGGACTGTGGGAGGAAACCGAAGCACCCAGAGGAAACCCGCACAGACCCGGGGAGAATGTGCAACCTCTATACTGACAATCACCTGAGGGTGGAATCGAACCTGGATGCCTGGAGCTGTGAGGCAGCAGTGCCAACCACTGAGCCACTGTGCCACCCCCAGATGCAAGTGTTCATGAGATATGCACATGGCAGAATGGGATCACACTTATACAGGAATGTTTCACGGGATACTCACTAAGAGATCCATTAAATACAATAAAGTGTCCATATTTTGAAGCCTGTACTGACAAACAAACATATTAGAAGTAGGAATAGGCTGTTTGATACCTCAAGCTTGATCTGTCATTCAACAGATCGTATCCCATCGGATTGTGGCCTCAATTCCTGCATACATCCCTGCATACCCCCAATAATCTTAGACTAGACTCCCTTGTTAGCTAGGAATCTGGCCATCACTGCCTTATCACATTCAATGACCCTGTTTCTTTTGCTCTCTGAGGAAGACAGTCTCTGTCACAAATGGGCAGGTCCTTATTTTTAAACTGCACCCCACAAGAGGTAACTTGGTGCTACTTCTTTAATTGATCTGACCATTTTCCTGTGTTCAGTGAGACATTGGGAGTGGTATTGAGAACGCACCAATCTCACATGGTGTGGTCTATTACATTACACACTTGAGAGAGTCAGGATACACCTGTCATCTCAGCAGCCCACAAGAAATGAAAAGTCAACACTTGCCTCATTTAGTACAGTGTGGAGCTGGAGGAACACAGCAGGTCAAGCAGCATCAGAGCAGCAGGAAAGTTGATATTGGGTGTAAACCCAAAATGTTGACTTTCCTGTTCCTCTGATGCTGCCTGACCTGCTGTGTTCCTCCAGCTCCACACTTTATTGACTCTGACTCCAGCACCTGCAGTTCTTGCTATCTCTGAGTGACTGAAAACCACACTGTGAAGCCTCTTCCAAGGATGTCCACCTTGAAGAAGTTGTTGTCCTCCCTCTGAAAAGATCTCATTGGATCTCTCTCCCACTGCAACCCCACTGGTGACCTCCTCCGCCCTGAAGCTCTTCAACCACATACTGAAATAAACCCGTTACTACAGCCACATCTCCTTTCTCAGTACCTACAGCCGGCCCATCTCCCATGGACTCCAAACAACATTCAGACCATCTCAATTTGGACCAAACCACAACAACCATTATTTACAGTACATCCAGAGCCTCCGGAAATGGTTTTCTCTGTAGATCCTCAGCTCCACGCTCGCAGTCATGTGCCGGCATCTTCTCTCACTACAGTCAGCTCTACCCGAGCTCAGAGCTGTCCTGATGAAGGGTGTAAACCCGAAACATCGACTTGTGTGCTCCTCTAATGCTGCCTGAACTGCTGTGTTCCTCCAGCTCCACACTGTTTTGAATCTGACTTCCAGCATCTACAGTTCTTGCTATCTCCACTTGCCTCATTTATTTGAGAGCAAATAAAAAAATGCAATTAAAAAAAACAGTTAACATTTCGAGTCTGGTGACGCTACCTCAGAACTCAGAGTCTAAACTCTGTTTTTTCTTTCACAGATGCTGTCAGACCTGCTGAGATTTTCCAGCAACTTTGTTTTTGTTCCTGATTTATAGCATCCACAGTTCTTTCGGTTTTTATCCACTAAAGTAGGAGTTGGTCTTGTGCATGATATCACAGTCCAGCGTCCGTGGCGACCTCAGCCTCCATGGTGGTCAAGGTGGGAAGGTACAGAATGCTATTGCAAGTCTTGGCCCTTTCTTTAAAATTGTACACAGTGACCTCCTGCAAGCTTACACATGAACATTGTTAATCCTCCCTGATAAAGGCAATGCCTGTGCTGATGGTAGCCTAACTGTCCATGATGGTGCCACAGGAATAGCTCCTTCAAAATTATCACTCAGATGTAGACTTTGTTGCTCCTTGGCCATTCACTGTGAGCTACCAAACCTTTCGCAGACAATGCTGCCATGTGGTCCCATTGCCACTGAATATATTGGTATTCCTTTTCTACCACTCTGATCCACATGCATTGTATAAAGTTCAAATCTAACACATCACTGATCCATATACTTCAAACAAATGGAGATTCATTCTGGAAGCTTCCTAGTGTTTTGAGTTCTCTGGGGGCACTTTACACATGCAGGTTATTTCCTATAGATCATTTTTTTCTCTGTTATCCATTGCATGTTATCACTCTTTAATAATGATTAGTTAATTGTTAATGATTAGTTCATTTAATCAATTCTCCCAGAATCTCAATACAGTTGGCTGTAAACCCATTTATTGGGCGACGCACTTAACGTAGTGACAAGCTTAGCACGTTTTAAGAATGCCTTTATTCTAATACCAATCACAACAAGCACTGGAAGTGCACCAAACTGATGTTTGATATCACCTTCTACACAACTCGATTAAATGTGCGGCAAAAACAGAAAATGCTGGAATGCTCAGCAAGTTTGGTAACATTTGAAAAAATAGAAACAGATCTTTTCTCAGAACCGAATATCAGTTCTAATGAAAGGCCACAGACCTGGAACGTAAACTCTTGTTTTTCTCTCTACTGATGCTGCCAGGTCTACCGAGTTTTATCAGCACTTTCTGTTTTGATTTCAGATTTCCAGCATTGGTAGTATTTGGCTTTTTTAAAAATTTCCAACAAACTACGCTCCTTTTAAATCAGTTCCATCATCAGTTAAATAAAATTTCTCGAGAGACTCTGTTCTGCATAGCCAGATTGCTAACGGTTTTATATGTTGCATTTTAGGATTTTTCTTGTGTATCCGTGCAACAATTCAAAACAAAACGTACTTTGGATGAGCTAAACATTGCTACAACAAAACATCAACCCCCAAGCCATCGTTTGCCCCTAAAGGCAGTTATTCCTTGTCAGTTAGATGAAAAGATAAGTGGTACAGAATAGCGTGTTTTAAAGAGACGTAAGTTAGATTTCTCAACCGTTACTGTCGGTGTAAACTTTGCCGTGTCGATTTTAACAAAGGAAACTTACATTTTAATAAATATAGGTCAAGAGTGGTTCTGGGTGCACATGTAATATTAATCCACTGTGGGTTGTTAGAGAATTCCTCACTATAACTGAAGGTTTCTGAACCAACACAGTGCTGGAGGATAGATACTAGACTAGTCAGCTAGAGGGGAGCTGCTTTTTTCATATGTATAACAGAAAACTACAGAGATAAATACATGAACGTCGACTCATCCCATTTACCTAACAGTGTGCGTTTACCTAAGCAACACTCTGGCGGTTAAATGCACACAAATATTCGCCGTTGCATGGGATCCGTGGCAAGATCTACCGCCGAATTTCAGTTTTGGAAGGTCATGCGGGGGTGTTGAAGCTGGGGAGAGGGAGAAAGTTTCGTAAACTTTCTAACAGTGCCGGCAGCGGATTGTTCCCCTCCCTCGTGGATGGGCCAGCCCTCGCACACACAGGAGGGGGCTAATGTGATCTCAGATTTCATCTTCACAGGGAAAGGCTGCTTGCTGCTAAACCCTCCGAGGCATTTTCAGATCCAGGTATGTCTGCATCTACACTGATTAAAAGCAGGTAGTGCTCAAACTCGTACAAGAGCCTTTTTTTAAAAAAAAAAGTCCCGACAGGGTGCCCGCAGTTTGAACAACAGCTTTAAAGAAATATATGGGACAGAAAGAGAAGAGGGGGGAAGGAAAACCGTTCAACCATTAATGTTAGCGTTGCTCGGTCGGTTTGTGATCATGTCTGTTCGCTTCCTTCTTCAGGTGAGCAAAGTCTTGTCCATATAATGTTGAAAAGAGAACAAAAGGTCTGCGCGTAGTTGGACATTTTGCAAAAGCTTGGTGTACGAGAGAGGCAGGGAAAGCAAGACGAAGCTGTACCAACCGGTCCAACAGGTACAAGGGCTTGTTGACACCGTTATTTTCTCAGCACGCATGCGCCCTCCTAAATTTCCTGTTGTATTTTCAATTCCTGGAGCAAACTTTTTTTCCTGTTACGGCAAAGGTAGCTGGTCAGGTGAGAGTGGGGTTTTACCTGAACCCCGTCTCTTCACCCCCCCAACCACACACACACATATAAACATACCAAACAGTGCTTTCAGGGAGATTAAGGAACAAACAGCCGCCTGTTTTATGTGGAAAACACCTGGAACTTGCTGAGGGAGGATCCGGTTCGGATGAAAAGGAAAGGGTCAGGTGGAAACAGGAGGGAATCCGGCTCCTTGTCTATCCTCATCGCCGCCTGCCCAGCGCTTACACCATGCCCAGAGCTTTCCTGGTCAAAAGAAAAGAGCCTTACCCGGAGGTCCGAGACTGGAATGAGCTGCCAGACGAAGAGAGAGCCGACACCTACATACCAGGTAGCAGGGAGAATCTGAAAAGAACAGGTTAGACCAGGGTATGGAGGAGACAGAGAGAGAGAGAGGGAGGGAGGCTGAGAGACTGGGAAACAGAAACGGAGGGGAGGAGAGAGAACTGAGATCGACCAAGTCCTAACAATTAAAAAAAAAAAGTCCCTTCTATATGGGATTATAGGATGGCGTTGTGTTCCAGGCACTCTCACTGCAGTACAAGGTGCAATCTCTTGAAAACTGAAAAGCAGCGAACCAATTCATCCGCTCGCAAGGTTAAAAAAAATCTCCTTTACATGGAGACAGGCTTCCCTCTGCTAAGGGGACACCACACTTTGAAAGATCGTGTATTTTTTTTAAATGCTCCCGGATTCAGGAATCCTGAGGCGGGGGGGTGGAATTGTGGGAAAAACATAAGATAGGCAGTCTATGTTTGCATTACAGGGTGTACTCCGTGTTCCTCCTGATTCCATCAGTCATCAACCTGTTAGCAGCACTCAGGCAGGCTTCGAGGCTTCCAACCGGGGCCCCACTGTTGGCTTTAGCTGCACCTTCCCAGTGTAAACATAACGGAACCCGAGCTCCGGCTCTATCTCCCCACCACCGCTCTTTAAAGGGGTATTATGTTGCATTCCTAACAGTCAAACGCTGATAAGAGAGGCTTGCGGAGCCAGGCAACACCCCAAACTCAAACAAGCCAAGAGAAGGAGAAAAATGTCTTAGTTCATTGTTTAAACTGGCCTAACACATAAGCTCCCCATCCAAACACCCTGCTGGATAACCAGGCTATTGTGTAAAGTCTTGTTTTCTCTCTTTTTTTTCAGTCAATTTGAACTGCTTTCTAAGTTACGAAGAAGAAAGAAAGACCCAGGATCCACCACCCGGAACAACTGGTTTGGACAAACTGCTGAACGATTCGAGCGAGCCCCGCCTCCCCTACAAGACCGAACCGGACCAGGAGAATGCAGAGGAGCAAGTTCTGGGACCGGAATGCAAAAAGCGCAGCGTCTTGCGAACGAAAATCAAGGTGAGCCGGCTATCTTTAGACTCCGGTTAATCATTACTAGGCAAGATTAGTAGAAAGAGAGAAAATTTGGGCCAGTGTCCGGTACCAGACCCTGATTGAGAACAGGCAGAGAGCTACAAGACATGAAGACGGATCATCGCCCAGTTTGAGAAAAATTACATTCGCTGCCCTCTTGAAATAGAACATAGCGAACATAACGAAATTATAAGATTCCAGTTTACACATTAAGTACAATATGAACATGATCTCAGATCTGCATTATTTTAAATTCAACATAATGTATAAACTGAAATGATATAATTAAAATACACTTTCAGCATACATAAGATCAAGTGTAAAAACAGTTATATTATTTCAGATTACACTGTAATATACTGTGTAATAAACAAACATTACACTCTCAGACACCATGTCTTTATACATTATTTCTTGTTCAATTATTAACTTTATGGTGAGGCAGTATTTTGTGTATAATGTAAGTATGAAACTTAAAAGGCCCTGTAAAATTTACATTGTCATTGTACACTGCCACCCTATTTGATTGATAAATATGCTAACGTAACAATCTTTTTTAAATTCACAATTAACATAGAGAAGGAGAATTCGGATGCTAATAGCAGGATTAATTTATTTGAAATATAACGTTGATTTTTGAGGGGAGAAAGATCAAAAATTATTCTAGTTGCACAGCATATATTACTCTGACATCCAAAAGTATTATTGCTTGCGGTATGCAAATATAGTCAAATCCAAAAATATTCAGTCAGGCATAGTCTGAAAAACTTCCACAAGGTCAAAACTGAATTGGTTCTTACTTCGGCTTTATTTAGTTATTTCAAAACTTCTGGGGCAAGGGGGAAACCCTACCTTTGTCCGTTTCTTTTAAAGCGCCCTTTAGGTCGCTTTTTCTACAGGCGTTGCTGAATCTAACGGTGTGTCTAATTCGGGCTTTTGTCCCCTCTCACAGATCACCTCCGGGGAGTGCAGCGACGCCACCTTCCGCTGCCAGGTGTGCAGTAAGGGCTTCCGGCTACAGCGCATGCTCAACCGGCACCTGAAGTGTCACAGCCAGGTGAAACGTCACCTGTGTACGTACTGCGGCAAAGGCTTCAATGACACCTTCGACCTGAAGAGGCACGTCAGGACGCACACCGGTACGTCATTCGTAAACCCCGCCCATATGCCTGCTGGGACTTGTAGTTCTGGTCGCATTTGCTCAGTCCGGCGATTCAAGTGGCAGTCGTGCCGGGTAGAGAAATTGTGTCATAATTAAGAGTCATTGAATCACACAGCATAGAAACAGGCCCTTCGGGCCATCATGTCTATGCCAGCCAACAAATACCAAACTTCACTAATTCCATTTACCTGCCATTTGGTCCATAGCCTGCTGTGGCCTGGCAATTTAAGTGCTCATCCAGATACATCTTCAATATTGTGAGAGTAGCTGCCTCCACCACCCCCTCAGGTAGCACGTTCCATATGTCTACCATCCTCTAGGTGAAAAATGCTTTCTCCGATCTCCACTAAAACACTTGCTCCTCAACTTAAATTTATGCCCTTTGATCTTAGGCATGTACCCAAGGATCCTACAAGCCTTGTTAATAGCTGTTTCAACTTGCCTGGCCACCTTCAAAGTTACATGTTACAGCTGTACAAGACATTGATAAGGTCATATTTGGAGTACTGGAGTACAATTCTGATTTCCTGTAGGAGGGCAGAGTTTTAGAAAGGGTGCAAAAAATTTACGAGGATGTTACAGAGACTGGAAGGTTTGAGTTATAAGGAGAGGCTGGGACTTTTTTGAGGCTGAGGGGTGACCCCATAGAAGTTTATAAAATCATGAGGGTCATAGGTAAGATGAATAGCCAAAGTCTTTTCCCCAGGGAGGACTGTACAAAACTAGAGGGCATAGATATACGGTGAGAGGAAGATTTATAAAGGACCTGAGGGGCAACTTTTTCACACAGTGGGTAATGCGTATATGGACTAAGCTGCCGCAGCAAGTGGTCGAGGCTGGTAGAATTACATTTGAGACATTTAGACTGGTACATGGATAGGAATGGTTTAGAGGGATATGGGTCAAACACAAGCAGATGGGACCAATTCAGTTTCAGAAACCTGATTGGCCTGGATGAGTTGGGATGAAGAGTCTGTTTCCATGCTGTGTGACTCTAAAGTTTGAGGAGGTTGAAAGAATTTGTAAGGGGGCTTGATAAAATCAGAGCTGAGATGCTGTTTCCCTTGCAGGTGAATCTAAAACTAAGATGGAGGTGAGTAGAAATTTGTTCTTCCAAAGCATTGTTAATCTTTGGAATTTTCCAGAGAGAGCTGTAGAGGCTGGACCCTTGAATATGTTCAAGGCCGAGTTAGACAGCTTTTTGATCTATTAGGGAATCAAAGGTTACGGACATGGAAATAGAGTTAAAGCCCCAATTAGATCCTTTTGAATGGCAAAGCAGATCTCAGAGACTGAATGTCCTCCATCTGTCCAATTTTCTGTGAAGAAGGGTCCCGACCCAAAATGTCAACTTTCCTGTTCCTCTGATGCTGCCTGCCCTGCTGTGTTCCTCCAGCTCCACACTGTGTTATCTCTGACTCCAGCATCTGCAGTTCTTACTATCTCTTTCTGTGTTAAATTGTGTTTACTTAATGCCTTTCATGATCTCACAATGCGTCAAACCACTTTACAGTACTTTTGAAGAACAATCATTGTTGTAATATAGGAAATGAGACAGTCAACTTGTGCACAGTCAGAAAAAGATTAGATAGGGTTTTCCGGCCACTGAAACTGAAAGATTCTGCACACAAATGAATGCTGCATAAGGACCAGGTATACTGGGCTGAGATGCACATTATGAGCCAACGTCACCATCAAAAATTACAAATAATGGAGGGAAAATGTGATGTACTGATACATGACTTGCATTTGGCTCCAGTGAGGACTCAACACCAATATGAAAAGAGGGGTGAAAATTGGTGAGAGAAAATTAAAGGAAAAACAACCAGAATGTATGCTCGGTAAATGTACGAATTGTTTTATCAGTGATATTTTGTAATTCAGAAGACAAGGGTTCCATTGGATTTTACTTTTCTAACTTTATTGTGCCTGTCGGGATTCATGTTTAAAATGGATCTGTTAATTTGTTAAACTTGATAGAATAATTTCACCAGAAAATCCTGGTCATGAAAATAAAAAACACAAGTACAAACAAAAAATATATCTGTACAACACAAAGCAAAATCTTACGACAACATTTAATAATACAATAAGGCCAGTAACAAATGAGTAATCTTGTAATGCAAACCAAATAATCTTCACAAAATATCAGTTAGTCTTCCAAGAAGTATCAAATAATCTGAATGGACTGCCCAAATTAAATACCAATCAGGTTGATGTGAATTCTGAGAAGTTTTGCAAGGAGCTCAAAAGTTTCAATTGAAACTAATAGTGTGCTTGAATTCTCACCACTTACCAGGATGGGTGCAGCTGCAGTAGGACCCATGCTGTTTGCTTGATCAGTGTTACTGTCACTGAATATAACATCCATCCTGCCATCGGCAATTTGCCATGGTTGCACTACATTGGTTACACTACAGTAATTCACCAAGTTAACTATGAAAGACATTCCCTGCCCTGCAACGTCTGCTGTGGGGATTGTGAGCGGCAATGTTACGTGGAACATCGGGTTATGAAATAAAAAAAAGAACTTGATGTATTATATGACCTTGGAGCATCTCAAATCAACTTATAGGTAATTAAATACTTTTGAAGTATAATCGCTCATGAAAAAAAATTCAGCAGATAATTTGCACACATCAATCTTCTACAAACAGCAATATAATAATGACCAGATAACAATGTTATTACTCAATAGTCCTTTTGAATTCCACATATGAACCACCCTCTGTTGCGCTTCAGGTCCCTTTTAAATCTTTCTCCTCTCACCTTAAAAATATGCCCCCTGGTTTTGAACTTCACCATCCTAGGGAAAAGACCTTTGCTATTCACCATATCTGTGCCCCTCATGATTTAATAAACCTCTTTAAGGTCACCTCTCAGTAATAAAAGTTCCAGCCTATCCAGCATCTCCTTATAACGCATACCCTTCAATCCCAGCCACATCCTGGTAAATGTTTTCTGAACCCTCTCCAATTTAATAATATCTTTCCTACATCAGGGTGACCAGAACTGTACACATTACTCCAGAAGAGGCCTCACCAACATCCTGTACAACATCAACATGATGTCCCAACTCCTATACTCAATTGTCTAAGCAATGAAGGCAAGCATTCTTCACCACCCTGTCTACCTTTGATGCAACTTTCAAAGAATTGTGTTCCTAGACCTTTAGGGGGGGGGTCTCTGTTCAAAAACGCTTCAATTAACTGGATTAGTCCTGCCCTTGTTCAGTTTACCAAAATGCAATACCTCGCATTTATCCAAATTAAACTCCATCTGCCACTCTTCAGCCCATTTGCCCAATTGATCAAGATTCCTTCGTAATCTTATTTAACCATCTTCATTGTCGACTATATCACCAAATTTGCTGTCATCTGCAAACTTACCAATCATGCCTCCTAAATTCTTATTTGAATAGTTTATATAAATGACAACAACAGTGAAACCAGCAACAATCCCCACGGAACACCACTGGTCACAGGCCAATTTTCCACCCAATTGACAAGCTCACCCTGAATCCCATGCAATCTAACTTTACTAATCAGGCTATCATTTGGAAGCTTGTCAAAGGCTTCACTAATGTCCATGTAGATGATATCTACCTCTCTCCTCTAATCAATCTTCTTGGTTATGTCCTCAAAAAAACTCAATCATGTTTGAGACATGATATCCCAAGCACAAAGCCATGCTGACTATCCCTAATCAGTCCCTGCCACTCCAAATGCATGTAAATCCTATTACTCAGAATCCCCTCCAACAACTTACCTACCGCTGATGTCAGCCTCACTGGTCTATAATTCCAAGGCTTCTACTAACAGCCTTTCTTAAATAAAGGCACAAGATTAGCCATCCTCCAGTCCTCCAGCACCTCACCGGTTGCTATAGATGAAACAAATATTTCTGCAAGGGGCCCTGTAATTTCTTCCCTAATTTCCCACAATGTCCCGGGATATAATTGATTAGATTCTGGAGATTTATCCACCTTTATAAGACCTCCACTGTGGACTGTTTATAAGACATCAATATTTATTTCCCCCATTTCCCTATCTGCCATGTCTTTCTCCATAGTAAAAACTGACAGGAAATATTTGTTTAGTATCTCCTGTGGTTCCACACATAGATGACCTCGTTGATCTTTGAGGGGCTCTAATCTCTCTCCATTTGTTCTTTTGCTCTTAATGTACTTGTAAAATCTCTTCAGATTATCCTTAACCTTATCTGCCAAGGCTATCTCATATCCCCTTTTTGCCCTCCTGATTTCCCTCTTATGAATACTCCTACACCCCTTATACTTTAAGAGATTCAGTTGATCCCAATTGTCTATATCTAAAATATGCCTCCTTATTCTTGACAAGAGCATCAATATTTTTATTCATCCATTGTTCCTTACTCTTTTACCCTTCACTCTAACAGGAAAATAATGCCTCTGTACTCTCGTTATCTCACTTTTGAAAGCCTCCCACTTGCCAGATGTTCCTTTACCTGCAAACAGACTACCCAATCAACTTTTGAGAGTACCTGTCTCATACTGTCAAAACTTGTCTTCTCTAGTAGGTATATCTACATATTGATAAAGAAAATTTTCTTGAACACCTTAAACAAATTCCTCACGATCCAACCCCTTAACGCTATGGCAGTCCCAATCTATGTTTGAAATGTTAAAATACCCTACTCCTATGACCCTATTATTCTTACATAAAGCTGCAATCTCAGTACATATTTGCTGCTCAGTTTCCTGCTGACTACTGGGATGTCTATAGTAAAATCCTATCAAGGTGATCATCCCCTTCTTATTTCTGAGTTTCACCGATATAGTTCACTGGACGATCCCTCAGAAATATCCTCTCTAAGTACAGCCGTAATGTTTTCCATAATTAAAAACACTATTACTCCTCCTCTCTTGCCTCCCCTTCTATCCTTCCTAAACCATCTGTAGCCTGGAACATTGAACTGCTAGTCCTATCCCTCCCTCAGCCATGTTTCTGTAATAGCTATGATATCCCAGTCCCATGTTCCCATACATGCCCTGAGTTCATCTACCTTACCAGTAAGACTCCTTGCATTGAAAAACATGCAGTCTAATTCCTCATAGTTGTGTCGTTCTCAGACTTACTCTTGTCTGCCTTTTCTGATTATCTTGCTCTCTTTAACTTCAGAACCATCCTCATTTGTCTCTCTATTCTTACAACTACTTAAGGTCTCCCCACTCCCCCTCCCTACTAGTTTAAACGTTCCTGAATAGAACTAGCCAATCACCTTGCCAGGATATTGGTCACCCCCAGTTCAGATGAAAACCATCCCTTTTGTACAGTTCTCTGTACAAAAATCTGAATCCTTGCTCCCTGCACCAGCTCCTGAGTCACGCATATATCTGCCCTATATTCTTATTCTTACTCTCACTAGTGCATGGCACCAAGAGTAATCCAGGGATTACTACCTTTGAGATTCTGCTTTTTAACCTCCTTCCTAACTTTCTATATTCAATCTGCAAAGCCTCAACCTTTTCCCTAACTATGTCGTTCTTACCAACGTGTGCAACAACTTCTGGCTTTTAACTTCCCCCTTTGACAATATGCTGCAACTGCTTTGAGACACCCTTGACCTTGGCACCAGGTGGCAACATATTATCCTAAAGTCTCAATCACTGCCACAGAATCTCTTGGCTGTGCCCCTGGCAGGGGAGTCCCCTGTAACGCTTATTCTTTTGAACCTTGACAAACCCCACTTAACAGAAGATTCATTCTTGGTTCCCAAGATTCGCTGTCACTTCTATTTTCCCCTGAGAGAGTATGCCCCTCAACAGTACCCAAAACATATATCTGTTTGAGAGAGGAACAGCAACAGGAGACTCCTGCACTACTCTCCTACCTCTCCTGACAGTCACCATCTATCTGACTGACCACCTCTCTAAATCTACTAACCATCACACTCTGTGCCTTCACTATGCTCCTAGTGACTCTAACTGCCTCTCTAGCCAATCCAAGCAGTCTGATATGAGATGCATTCAAACACACCTCATGCAGACATAATCTCCAAGGACAGTCAACTGCTCCCTAATGTCCCACAGCTGACAGGAGGAGCACACCACTCCACTGACTGCCATCATTGCCCCTTAAAAATTTGCTAACGTAGACTTGCCTAAAAAGAGCTACACTTTTCTCAAATCCAGTGTTGTGGACTGATTGTTGCTGACAGACTATGCTGGAAGAACATAAAGTCTATTTTGTATATTGTAAGGCCTTAAAGAAGAAGCTCTAAATACAACCTTATTTTGAAAAAATCTATCCTCCCCTTAATTTTAAGCATGCAAAAGAGAAGAAAAATAATTAATATTTAAATTCTTAAAATCCCGCACTTGGCTTAAACTCCCAGCAACCAAAAGCAGCCTCCTCCTCAGATTTTCTATCAGTCTCCAACTCTGAGTAAGGGTATGTGAATCCCTTCGACTCCTAGATTCAGTGCTGCAAAAATAACGGATCCAGGAACCCGCTCCCTGTAATTATTTAAACCTTTAATAAGGAACACTTTACAGACAAGTTGAAAAGGTCAATATTCTGAGTTCCGTGCACACAAAAAAAAATCCATTTCCAAAACTGTTGACACCTCCACAAACACTTGGATAGGGCTGTCCTGAACTCCGCGTAATCCAATCTCTCCTTCCTCGTTTTTATTTTGAAGAGTGGCTGGATACATTTAAATCATTGACTGACATTGTTTTTGTAAATAACCCTTTCCACCCAACACTATACAACCACCTACCTGGCCCCCACAATGTTCACGCCCTCTTTCCCAACATTGCTTACCCTACAAGAATATTCAACCCCTCACCCCTCCAACAATGTTTATCCCTGACAATGCAGGGATCCCTTTGCTCCCCTACAATGTTTAACCCCTCACCCTCTGTCACTGTTCATCCCCCCAACTGACCTGTCAATGTTCACCTTCCCAACATTGTTCAGCACCCCCCAATCCTTCCCATGGTGTTCACCCAATGCACCTTCTCCCGTCAAATGCTTACTCTCTCCTTCATCACCCTTCCATACTCACCCTCATTGGCCCCCACTCCCTCCCTGCATACCCCTGACAATTCATCACATCCAGGGATTTCAGAAGCTGAATCAGGAGAGAGCTTGTGAGGTGGGGTGTGATGAACATTGTCCTGAGGGGGTGAATATTGTTGGGGGACAGGGAGGTGAATATTTCCAGTAGGCAGTTGCTGGTGGCTCCAACACTCCAGCTAATTTACTTTGAGCTGCACTCCTCTCAAACTTTAGATCTGCTAGGCAAAAGTCTAAATAAACCTGTAAATCCTAGAGTCAATGCAGGGCAAACAGCTGACATGTCCATGTGCCATCTGATCCCACTGTCGTAGGGATCTGATCACCAATCCATGCAGGATAAAACTGGCAAACAGAGGATTAAATTCCACCTAAACTAACAACACCCTTATTATTTCAACCTACCTTTTGTCAATCTGGACACCTTGCGCCTGTTTTTCCTCGTCAATTATTCATGCCACTGCTTCTCTCTCTTTTTCCCTGTCACGGCTATACAGGACTTAGTTAGGCCACTTTTGGAATACTGCATTCAATTCTGGTCTCCCTGCTATTGGAAAGATGTTAAACTTGAAAGGGTTCAGAAAAGATTTACAAGGTTGTTGCCAGGACAGGAGGGTTTGAGCTATAGGGAGATACTGAATAGGCTAGGGCTATTTTCACTGGAGTGTCAAAGGTGAGGGGTGACCTTATAGAAGTTTATAAAATCATGAGGGGTATGGATAGGGTGAATAGCCAAGGTCTTTTTCCAGGGTAGTGGAGTCCAAAACTAGAGGGCATAGGTTTAAGGTAAGAGGGGTAAGATTTAAAAAGGACCTATGGGGTAACATTTTCACACAGAGGATAGTGCGTGTATGGAAATGAGTTGCTAGAGAAAGTGGTGGAGGCTGGTGCAATTACAACCTTTAAAAGGCACCTGGATGGGTACATGAATAGGAGGGGTTTAGAGGGATATGAGCCAAATGCTAGCAAATGGGACTAGATTAATTTAGAATATCTGGTCAGCATGGATGAGTTGGACCAAAGGGTCTGTATCCATGTTGTATAATTCTATGAATCTATGACTGTCTCTCTCCCTCTTTCTCTCTCATTCTCCTGGGTCCTTCCATGCCTCTCTCAGCCGCCTTCTCTCTCTCTCTATCTGGAATAGTCGCTCAGCAATCTCTGTCCTTTTCTCAACCTCTTGCGTATACATTCTTTTCACCAGCCCCACGTATAAAGGTGCCATTCTTACACTCAGTTTGTCCAAGTGGTGAGACCTTTGTGAACAGGTTGGATTCATACTTCTTTTCTCTTATTTTATGTTTAAAGAAATATCCAAAAGAGCCTACCATATATACATGCATAATGGTCAGTCTTGTATAAAAGTCAAGGGGCAGCACGGTGGCTCAGTGGTTAGCACTGCTGCCTCACAGTGCCAGGGACCCAGGTTCAATCCCACCCTTGAGTGACTGTCTGGGTGGAGTTTTCACATTCTCCCCATGTCTGCATGGGTTTCCTCCAGGTGCCCCAGTTTTCTCCCACAGTTGAAAGATGTGCATGTTAGGTAGATTGGCCATGTTAAATTTCCCATAGTGTCTAGGGATGTCTAGGTTAGGTGGATTAGCCATGAGAAATACAGGGATACAGTAGGTGAGGGAGTCTGGGTGGGATGCTCTTCAGAGAGTTGGTGTGGACTTGTTGGGCCAAACAGCCTGTTTCCACACTGGAGTGATTCTATGATTCTGACTTCTGGTAAAAAAAAATCATACATTTTGCATATACCTGGTGTAAAAGTTGACCCCCAACTTTAAGCCAAAGAATCCATTCTTCCTGTTCGGCAAACATACCCTGGAGACTGATTCTGGCACATCAATAAGATCATTACAGGTAGGAGCAGAAATAGGCCATTCAGCTTATTGACTCTGCTCTGCCATTCAATGAGATCATGGCTGATTTCGTAATCCTCAACTCCACTTTCCTGTCTTTTCCCTATAATGCTTGATTGTCTTACTGATGAATATACTTAATGACACAGCCTCAACAGCCCTCTGTGGTAAAGAATTCCACAGATTAATTACCCTCAGAGAAGAAATTTGTTTCTATCTGCCTTAAATGTGCCATGCCCCGGTCCTAGACTCTCCCACAGAGGGTGGTTTGTATAAGGAATAAACTGCCAGAGGAAGTGGTAGATGCAGGTACGGTTACAACATTTGAACAGGTACATGAATAGGAAAATGTTTAGAGGGACATGGGCCAAATGCAGGCAAGTAGGACTAGGTTAGTTTGGGAAACTTGGTCCACATGGATGAGTTGGACCGAAGGATTTGTTTCCGTGCTGTATGACTCTATGACTCTGCCAGATAGTCCAGCCTACCAAGCCCCTGCTACTATCAACTCCGAATTCTCCTTCACAAGGTCTTAGTGCCCACCCACATCTTTTAATCAACAGCACAGCAAACACTGATGATGGGGTGGTTTCCAATCTCTCTAAAACATTACCTGTGTTGACCTCCCTACTTTTTGACCAGAAATCTAGTCTTAGAAACTGGTCATTTACATGAGAAGACCTGCTAATTTCACTTTGTGCTTAATTTTAATGGGAAAATCTGTTCTGCTTTACATTGTTTCTCTTAAAGCTGCAATTTTCAGGAAAGACTTCTTGTTTTAATCTGTTGCTTGAATTCACAATTTTAGAAAGGGAGGGCATATGTTTGTGGAGTTAAATTAGGTTTGTAACATCGGCAATTAGCCAAAACTATGTCATTTAAAAATGTCATCTATATTTCATGTGCAGGAATTCGCCCTTATAAATGCAGCCTTTGTCATAAAGCCTTTACACAGAGATGCTCCTTGGAATCACACCTCAAGAAGATCCACGGAGTGACACAGAAGTACAGCTACAAGGAAAGAAGGGCAAAGCTCTATGTCTGTGAAGAATGTGGGTTCACAGCCATCAACCAAGAGGACCTCTACCTTCACATGAAGCAGAATCACCCAGAAAACCCACTACTTAAAAAGACTTCAAAGAAAATAGCTGCAGCTCTGCAGAACAAACTCAGCTCGGTGCTACACAACAGTGACAAAAATAAGGATTCTGAATAGGAGCAAAAGAAGAGGCAGTGGTGTCGATGGTGAAGTTTTGATACTTGCACTGCGGGTTAAATAAAACATATGGTTAGTGTGAGTGACATATTAAACACAATGGGGAAGATTACCTTAAATTGCTGGTGCAAACAATCTGTTTTAAAAACCATTTGCTGGATATAGCATAGTAAACATTTACACTTTTGATACTGGTCCAGTGCCCTAAAGGGCTAGATGTTTTTTAAAAAATCTTGAGATTTGGGTATTGCTATCAGTTTCAGAATATAAAGGTGGTGTAGGGCTGCCTTCTTGAATTGTTATTAATTTGCATACAATCTAACACAATTTACTAGGCCATTTCAGGTTGCAGCTAACCAAAGGGCTATGAGTATGAATGGTGCTTTGGGCTTTTCAACTCTTCTCTGTATGTTTTGTTCTTTGAAGATGTATCTTGTTTACCATTTCTTTTAAATTTGTTGGTTCAAGGGTACATTCTTTTCCTACAGGAGCATATACTTTATTCATTTGTAGCCTTTTGAATTTGAAAAATAATTGTATATCAAGGGAAATATTACGAATTTCCAAAATTCAGTACAGATCTCTTATTTTGATATGGAGAATTTAGGAAATATTCAATACAGATAATTTAATGCATAACATTCCAAAAAGTGTCCTGTATAAACTTTTAAAAAAGACTATATTACAAAGAGGAATTGAAATTTATGGTATGCTGTTTTCTACTAGTCTGTTTATCTAAAAAATGAGATTTTAACTTTAAAGCTTCTTAACCAGATTTCAAAAGTTGCTTCATTTCATGAAACAAAATTAGATTTGTTTTTGAAGATCATCCTGTTTAAAATTGCATAGCTCGCATTAATCTATCATTTCAAGCAGTGAACAATCCAGCACATGCTAAGAATTACATGAACAAACAGTTTAAAATGATCAGACAGGCTTATAATGTGACTCACCTTTTTTGCTAGAAGCTACACATTAAGACAGAGACCTGTCCTCTGCAAGCAGAAAGAACATGTTCAGGCATTGAACCTTTTGTGGAATTAAACAAAAGCATGGAGGATAAAAGTTCCCTGGTGCATTCACCATGGCTACACCTCGACCAATGAGAATCAACTTGTCAACTAACCAGTAGCCTTATCTCATGCACTATAAATTACTGCTCCTTTTAAAATTTGGCATTCTTGCATTAATCCTGATGAGTTCAAGATGTAAAGCTTTAACATCACGTGTTTTTTAATAATACTCAAGATCTAGTAAACTTGGATTTTTGGAAGACATTTTGCAAAGTGCCACATAAAAAGGTTGATATGTATAATGGCACATTGAGTTAGAAGTAATCTCGCATGCACAGCGCATCTCTTACACAGGAAGCAGAAATTAGGAATAAACAGGGCATTATAAGAATCAACTATTTACAATCTATATTCATACTTATAAGAAAAGACCAAGAAGTAATGTATCTAAGCAGAATATTTTTTATAAAGTGCAAAACTTCTAAATGTGCATGTTCAGAAGGACTTAGTATACTCATACAAGAAATACAGAAAGTATTGACAGGGTTGCCTTTTGATGAAAGGCTTAGTAAATTGGGTCTATATTTGTCTGTAATTTTTAAATTTGTTAATGGGATGTAGACATTACTGGCTGGACCAGCATTTATTGTCCACCTCTAATTGCCCATAGGGCAGTTAAGAACCAACTACATCTCTGAGAGTCAGGAATCACATGAAGGCCAGAGTAGGTAAGAATGGCAGATTTCCTTCCCTAAAAGGCATTAGTGAACTAGACGAGTTTTTGTACCAATTAACAGTGCTTTTGTGATCACCATTTGGCCAGGCTTTTTTTCCTATTCCAAATTGTAGTGATTGGAACAAAGGCCAGGTCGATCTTATTGACTACGAGATCTTTGATCAGGGTTGTTATTGTGGGACAATCAGGGAGTCCTGGCTGACAGATATAAACAGGCGATTAGAGTCTCCTCATTCTAGGGGACTGGCATGGCTGGCTGGTCAGAGCCAATGTACTGTGCACATATAAATAAAGGGTGACTTGGTGACAGGATACTGGCTTCTATTCAATTATCTTACAAATGTTTGTTGAATTGGTGGGATTTGAGCCCATGCCCCCAGAATATTGGCCTGAGGATTGGATTATTAGTCCAGTGACATTGCCACTACACCAAAGCCTCACCATGGGCTTAAGGAAATGCAGCGTAGAAGATTCTGAAGGGACTTGACAGGATAGATGCTGAGAGGTAGTTTTCTTACCTAGGGATTCCAGAATAAAGGGTTGATCACTTAGGATTGAGAAGAAATTTATTTCTTGAGGGGCTTATAAGTGTTGGAAGTCTATGCCCTAGAGAGATATGGATGTTTCATCATTAAGATTATTTAATTGGGGGATAAATGTTTGATCTTTCAGGGAATTAAAAGGCATAGGGAGTAGTTGACTATTTTTATTTTTGGAGCCACACTTTGGTTTCATGTTCACCTTTTTAATTCTCACTAACTCTTTTATTAGATGATGCAATCACATAACAACACTACATTTTAGTGTTGAATATTGTTTAACGATTATTACCTTGTTTAGGTAGATAATATAGCTTAACTACTAAAGATTATATACATTGAGGCCCCAGAGACCTTCTTGGGACACCACTAGTCACATCCATCCTAACATTAGAGTACTTGACCATTATTCCCATTCTGCCCCTTGCTGCAGCCAAATTTCTGAGTTCAATAATTTGCCTTTAATTCCACAGACATTCTCTTTAGTTGACAGTGTCTTATGAGAGACTTCATCAGATACCTTCTGAAAGTTTATGTAAATAATATCCAAGGTCTTTATTTCAGACACTTCAAAATAATGGAGGTTTGTCAGACATGGTTTATAATTCACAAATCCTTCCCGATCAGTTGGAAAACTTCAGGATATCCAGTCACTCTACCCATAATTGTAGACCTTAGTCATTTTCTGTGCAAAAATTTAGAAAATATAAAATGTTGACTAAGAATTCAGCTGTTTAGAATTTAATTACCCCATACCAGTTTGCTGCCCCAATATTTTGAAAACATAAGCTATTTCATGCAATATTTAAAGTTTGCAAAATGGACATTCATCTTCATAATATAATGAACGATACTGCTGTTTTTATTGAACTGTTCAATTTTATTCACACAAAATTTCCATTTTGCTCCAGGAGGTAAAGTTAGAGATCCCCAAGGGAAAAACGAAAAGCTCCATGAAAACAAAGAGCAGAAAGTGAAGGAAAACAAGCATCACCAACATCAACATTAGGGTCCTGCAAGAAACATTCAAATAGCCAGAAATAAATTTAATCCAGGTCTACAGAATCAGGAAAGCCACAACTTAGTATGGCTGAAAATGGCCACATTTAAAGAAATATAGTGAGGAAAAACTAGCAGAAGAAGAAATCAGAAAAAAGATGTAAAAGGATTGGAACTCCAATAAAATCATGACTCTATAATGTTGGCAGCCGTAGAATTTTATCTAAACATTCCTGTATAGGAAAGTGTTGGTGTTGTTGTGTAGAAAGATAAGAAAACATTTATTTTCCAAGGAAGAAGCAGGAAACTCCATCGTGGCTGTCGAAGGCAGAATCACCCTAGAATGAATGGATAGCCACTATTTTGTTCGTTAAAACTTGGAAAAGAGCAGGGAAATTCAGTAAGCAGTGCAAAGATGCAAGGAAGCAAATCAAGAAGCTTGGACACAATAACTTAGAATGGAACAGTAAGATTATCATAGAATCCCTACAGTGCAGGAAACAGGCCCTTTGGCCCAACAAGTCCACACTGAACCTCAGAGCATCCCACCCAGACCCATCCCCATCCCCTGTAACCCACCTAATCTACACATCCCTGAACACTACAGGTAATTTAGCATGACCAACCCACCTAGCCTGTACATCTTTGGACTGTGGGAGGAAACCAGAGCACCCAGAGTAAACCCATGCAGACACAGGGAGAATGTGCAAACTCCACATAGACAGTCGCCTGAGGGTGGAATTGAACCCGGGTCCCTGGCACTGTGAGACAGCAGTGCTAACCACTGAGCCATCATGCCACCCATAAGTAAATACAGTTTTTGGTTTAATGAAGAATTTAATAACAGTAATGGAAAGTTTTAAAACTGACAGTGTTGTACAAAGTCTAACAATCTTCACAGTTAGTTTAACGCTGTAATGATGATTGCAATAACATGAGATTAACAGCATATTTAAATCAATATTAAAATTATACAGATTTAAGATATCTTTGTAGCCATAAGATTTATTAGCATGAATAATTAAATATCACGTTCAAGGTCAGAGAAGGATCAGACAGAACACAAATTGTTCTTCATGGAGGCGACAGTTCTCAAGATACATTACCTCAAAATGAAATCTGAAGACTCAAGCCGAACAAATGATTATATTCAGTGAGTTAGCTTGCAGATCATGTTATTAACAGACAAAACATCAAATAGATTACAAACACTTTGGAAGATATCCTAAAACCTTTTGATAATTCACCACCTTAAGAACAAACAGCAAAATTTTACAGGAGTTCAACTTCCAGGGGATGCATAGAAAATTACATTTATGGCCTCTAGATATTATTGGAAAGCTGTGAATAAATGAACAAGAAACAAGAGTAGACCACTTGGCCCTTTGAGCGTATTCTGCTCTTCAATAAGATCATGTCTGATCTGATTTTAACCTCAACTCTACATTCCTGCATATCCACGATAACCTGTCATCTCCAAGGAGATCAAGAGTCTATCTACCTCTGCTTTCAAAATATTTAAAGATTCTGCATCCTCTGCCTTTTGAGAAACGGAATTCCAAAGACTCACAACCCTCTGAGAGAAAAAAATGTTTCCTCGTTTCTGTTTTAAATAGACAATCCTTTATATTTAAACTATGATCCCAAGTTCTAGATTCTCCCACAAAACAAACATCCACCTGGTCAAGTCCCTTAGGATCTTGTATCTTGTGACTCAATTAAGTCACGTCTGACACTTCTAAACTCCAGATGATACGGGCCTGGCCTGACTAACCTTTCCTCGTGAGGCATTCTGCTAACTCCAAGTTGTAGTCTCATAAACCTTCCCTGAACTGTTTCCAATGAATTAACATTGTTCTGTAAGTATGCTGACCAGTACTGTACAATACTCCAGATGCAGTTTCACCAATGCTCTTTATAACTGAAGCATAATTTCTGTAGTCTTGCATTCAATTCCTCTCACAATAAACTGTAAAATTCCATTAGATTTCTGATTACTTGCTATGCCTACATACTAACCTTCTGTGATTCATGCACTAGAACATCCAAATGTCTCCGCATCTCCAAGCTCTCACTATTTTGATAATATGCATTACTAAATTCTTTCTGCCAAAATGGACAATTTCATACTTTTCCACATTGCTACATTTGCCAGATCTTTGCCCACTCACTTAATCTACCTATTTCCTTTGTAGGCTCCTTATGTCCTCTTCACACCTCAGTTTCCTATTTATCTTTGTGCCATCAGGAAATTTAGCTACCATAAGTTCGATCTCTTCATCCAAATGATTTACATAAATTGTAAAGAGTTGAGGGCCCACTGTGGCACACTACTCATGACATCCTGCTTGCCTGAAAAAGACCCACATATTCCTACTCTACTTGCTGTTAGAAAATCAATCTTCTATCCATGCCAATAAATTACTCTTTACACTATGAGCTTTTATTTTACACAATAACCTTTGATGTGGCATCTTATCAAATGCCTCTGGAAATCTAAATACATCCACTGGTTTCCCTTTATTCACAGCAGAAGTCACTTCTTCAAAGAATTCCAATAAATTAGTTAAATATGATTTCCCTCCGACAAAACCATGTTGGTTCTGCCAGATTATCTTGAACTTATCCAAATACCATGTTATAATGTCTTTAATAATAGCCTCCTAACATTTTCCCTCTGACAGATATTAGCTAACTGGCCTGTAGCTTTTCTTTTTGTTTGCTTTCTGCCTCCTTCCTTTTTTGAATAAAGGAGTTAGATTAGCAATTTTCTAATCCAAAGGAACTTGCCCTGAATCGAGTGAGTTTTGGAAAATTAGAACAATGCATCAACTATTTGACTGGCTACTTCTTTTATGACCGTAGAATGAAATCCATCATGTTCTGGGATCTTGTCAACACCCAGTTTCAACAATTTGCATCAGTACTACTTCCAGGGTAATTGTAATTTTTTTTTTGAGTTCCTTCCTCTCTTTCAATTCCTGATTTATTGCTATTTCTGGGATTCTATTTATATTCTCTCCAGTGAAAACCAATGCAAAATATCCATTCAATTCTTCTGCCATCTCTTTATCCTCCATTACTGATTCCCCAGTCTCATTTTCTATAGGACTAACACTGTTATCTTTTATTTTTTAAATATCTGTAGAAAATTTTTCTAACTGTTTTTACATTTCTGGCTAACTTTCTATTGTACTCTAATTTTCCCTCCCTATTAATCTTGTAGTTTTTTTAAAAAATACATATTCTGTATAATCTTCTGACTCGCCACCTACATTTACAGAATTATATATCTTCTCTTTGAGTTTGATACTACTACTAATATAGAGCTTTGAAATCAGGATTCATAAGAGACAGACTTTTTTGTTGGAATTCTTGATGAAACTCTATGAGATTTCTTGCAGCCCAAGGAAGATTTAACTTTGGAGAAAATTATTGGAAAAAGAATCCAGAATAATTCACAGATCCTGATAGAAAACAAAAACAATACAATCTCAAGTGGGCAACAGTCTCTACTGACTTTATAATGTATGGACACTCTAAAAAGGCATGTGACAAGCCTACCCAGAGAACAAGCCAAACACCTGACACTAAAAATGCCAGCACAGCAGGGTTCACATACTCAGTAATGTCCAGCTATCATGAAGAAATGTTACATTTGCAAAACTGTAGATCACCTGTAGAAAGTGTACAGAAGTAATTGGCTTCAGAACATCAAAATACTGGTGATCACATATGTAATACAATAGAATGGAATAGTTACTACCATTAGAAAAACTACCTGCATAAAAGATACCACCACTGCAGAAGATACCCAAGACATTCCTGGGGGAACTAACTAATCCAGCTGAGTCAGAAAAGACAGTTCTTATCTACATCAATCCTGTTGATTTCGTGCTTCATACAGGAACAAATTCTATGTCATTGAAGTTACATGGCTGAAGAATTAAAAGTTTTAGCCCAAAGAGATAAGACTACATAGCTCACCCTATCACAGTCATATGAATGCAACAAGTTACATTATAATGTAATGCACATAAGACAATTGAGGATGTGTACAATCAACCAATTTCACTGTTGAGCCAAATGCATATCTCAGTCTTAACTTCATCCAAAGACTTGGAGGACATGAACACCCTCCTAAAGAACAACTAGCTCAGAAACACACAGCTGCCTAAACACTGCACAAACTTTTACCGACCAACTAGTTAAAAGGAAAACTGTAGAAGACGTCATTTAGGTTCACAGACTCACGGCAAAACACAAGCAGATGAAATAATCCTGTGAGATCACTTATGTTATTATAATATAAATAATCTTGTCAACAAAGAAGTAGTCACAAACTTCACAGAGCTGGTAGAAATGTTCAATCTTCTGTTTTTCAAAACAGAACAGTCAATGCCAGTGACAGAAAGAAACCAGAATGAACAACAACCTTTCAGTAACATGACAGCAAATCTGAAAGTTGACTTCTCCAATCAACTACAAAAGGTAATTGAAGATGTCCAGCCTGACCAAGGGAGATGAAAACTGCATATGACCCGTTAGAGTCAGACCCACATACTGATCCAGAACGAGGCTAAGAAGAAGAAACTGCCTGGTCTGAGTATCCAGGATGCTGCAGAAAAGAGACAACCTCATACAATTAGAAATCAATTGCCTGATCCAGAGATCCAGGATAATTGAAGGAAGGAAGTATTTATTTCAACAGAGCAGTTGTCTTGCAGGATGGAAATTCGGGAGAAAAAAGATCCTCCCAGGCAAGGTAATGGACCAATAACATCTACAAAAACAGGACATTCCAAGCGATTTCTCCTGTGGAGAAATGATTCACAGATTAGAACAAAGGTCAACAGTCCTCAAGAAATAGACCTATCCTTCTTCTAAGTTCAAAGAGAACAAGAGTCTGACCATCAGCATTTGTGAACTCAGACACTTGGGATGGTGGTGAATTTAATTAGTTATACACATCATAGAATCCCTACAATGTGAATGCAGGCCATTCAGCCCATCAAGTCCACAATGACCCTCTGAAGAGCTCCCCACCCAGACCCACCCCGCACCCTATCCCTGCATTTATGGCTAATCTACCTAACCTACACATCCCTGGACACTATAGACAATTTAACATGGACGATCCACGTAACCTGCACATCTTTGGACTGTGGGAGGAAACTGGAGCACCCAGAAGAAACCCACGCAGACACTGGGAGAATGTGCAAACTCTACGCAGTCAGTCACCTGAGGCTGGAATTGAACCTGGGTCCCAAGTTCTGTGAGGCAGCAGTGCTAACCACTGAGCCACATGATTGAATAATGGCTTGACAATGGGGATAAGAGCTTGTGGGAAGATATAGTTGGTAATAGTTTTGAGGTGTCAGTGCTCTTGTTACATCGGTTCTACTCATTCTGCTAATGTCACACAGTCTGTGGAGGCAAGAGTTCTACTCTAGATTTCAGACAGTGCAGATCTATTTCCCTAAGGTCCTAGTAATCATGTCTGACTATATGTAATTTTACTTATTACCGTCATAC